TCTCTCTCTCTCTCTCTCTCTCTCTCTCTCTGACACTTATTTTATGCAAACTATTCGCTCCATTAATATTAGTATAGATTCAGAGTATTTAGAGTGCAATCAGTGCCGGCACCACACCATAAGCCAACACTCACTCACGCCATACCATTCCCATCACACAAACTGTAATACCGTGTGTGCACTGTATTAGCACACATCATAACGCGATGGCACAGCACTTACAGCCCATACATCCCTTTCCCAAAACACAACGACGACTGCCAGTGCAATATGCGGTGCATCTGAAGAATCTGTGAATACAATCCTCTCGTCTCCGGAATCTAATCACAAGAAAAATATTTTTTATTATTATTTCGTTATTTTAGCTGAAAGTGAAAAAACACAACAAAAATCCTATTATTTCTGTGTTTTTTCGATTGTATTCGCAGTGTATTACAGAATATTCTATATATACGAAAAGTGCGTGAATATAGTGTGTGTATAAGAATTGGAAAGAATTTAAGCGAATATTCTGTAGTTTATATGAGTGTGCGATAAGAATTGCATTGGATTTCTATTGTGTGTGTGTTTTGAAAATAAAAAGTTTTTTCTCATTTGTAATTTAATTTATTCACTGAAATACCTGAAAAATATATTTATAAAACTTATAAATGAAATATGCTTTGCCGAAAATTCTTGACATATATTTAATAAAAAGTTTTTATTTTTAATTTGTAATCACATCATAAATTCATTATATATAATATATAAAAATTCAATGATATCTCCGGGAATCAAAAGTTTAATAACATAGCTATAATTTGTGTAAACAATTGTGTAATACATATCATATTACAGTGTGTTTGTGTTTTATATATATACACCTTATATATCATTATTTGAAAGTGTTTTTGTGAAATAAGATTTTTAGCCGTATTTTTCACAACCATAAAGTTATGCAATATATCAATCATTACGTAATCATTTTGTTCCTGTTTATCGTTTTCAATAACCTTTTCAAATATTCACGTATGTATTGAAATGCTACTAAAAGTTTTATTGCAAATATTTTAATCACTTTGTTTGTGTAGTTTATTAACCTTGCTTGAAAACAAAATATTAAGATGAGAATGTTTAATTTATTGTAATTACTTTATAGATTATTTTTATTAATTTTTAAAATAAATTTCTAATTAAATGATATTTCTGAAATTAACTTATTACATACTGATAGGCTGTGTGATAACCTTGCTAATGTCTACCATACGAACAATTGAGACCTTGGTAAACTTTTAACAATATGCCATAGCTTAGTATCAAAATATCTCTAAATTAGCAAATATTCCGCAAATAGAAAGGAAATTAAATAAATTTATTAGGATATATCAAATGTAAAGTGTGTTTGCCTTCACAAATATACCGCTAATTGACAATCAATTTAAATTAACATTAAGTTTCACACATAAACCATTCAATTGAAATCACATGGATACTTCCATCAAAATGTTTTATTGTTTTATTGATAAAAAGTTTTCTAAAGTTTTTTGTATTTAATTTAAGCTTACTAGCGAGTATTATATTTGCTACTTATTTAACCTCAACACACTATTAATAAGCCAATTTATTAGGATTATAGCAAACAGTGAATTAAATTAATTTAGTTACTTTCAATGAAAAAATATTATAGATACTAATTAATCAATCTCATTTTCAAAATTATTTTAAAAGATATTATTTTAAAAAACAAATTTGAATATTATGCTACAAATATTTTGTAATTAAATAGTTAATTGTAAATAATTTTCAAATTGGTATTTAGAAAAGTTTCATTATAAAAATATACCATATAAAATTTATAATAATTAGCCTACACAATCAACACAATATAATTAACCAAATTTAATCATTGATCACAAAAATTCTATGTATGTAAATCTTAAAATTTAATGATTTCTACATTTAGCATAATATTATCCATTAAACTTATAATAAATCTAGAATTAACCCTAAAGATATATTAGGCTAATTAAAAAATAAACTAAAAATTAACACAAAAAATACTAAACAAAACTCCATTAAAATCCGTGCGGACTAGAGAGCGACGACTCGGCGTTCAACCCGCGGGAGGGGTGGCTGGTGCGGGGCATGAAGGGCTACCGGGTGCTCACGGGCATCGACGCCTCCTACGACGAGGCCAAGGAGATCTGTCAGATACTGTTCAGCTACCACTTCGGCCACTCTTATAGCCTCCTGAGTCTCGTGTCCATCAACAGCACCGAAGAGCAACGGTTGGTCTACTCACTCGTATTGGCCTCCAAGCACTCGCACGACCAGTTCTGGATCGGGGCCCGGGATGACGAGGTACACGGGCTCCGGTGGATCGATGGCCAAGATGTCAAGTGGACCAACTTTGTCCAGTATAAGAAACAGAGTCCGGGTCAGAGGTGCGTGGCCATTGACGCGACTAAAAAGGGCCGGGTAGAGAATCCGGGTAAATGGGTGTTCGACCATTGCGCCAGTAGGAAGGGGCTGATATGTCAAAGGGCGTAGGCGATTGGTAATAGTTTATTTGTATAGTTTTGGCGTACAATGCGGGACACCGTGTATGATATATTTGTGAGTATTATTAAGTATATTTGTTTGCAATATTTAAGCATGTTTAACATATTTAATAATTTTTAATATTTTGTAGTTATTATTATACTTTGCAGGGTGGTTTACTAAAAACACGAAATTGCTGGATTATAATAGTTATCCATTAAATTAATATATAATTCTTGAGAGTTATGTGAATACCGTTTAATAAAACGCAATAATAATTGTATATAAAATTTTTCATATTAGCAGCATAATCAATCAGTTATTACCTGGTATAAATATAAATGAAAATAAATAATTAAAGATATGTTAGATTAGTTAGATTAACTAGCTTACTTTCACAATAAGATGTAAACTAGTTAAATAATTTAATAGCGTAAAACAATGTTAAAAATATACTCATACTAATAAAGGTTTTAAAAA